CCCCTCCGCGCATGCTCGGGGGACGCGCGCGCCCGGGGAAGGCGGTTGGGGCGGGGCGATCGTTACCGGCACCTGGAGGCAGCGCCGTGTCCCCGCCGGGCGGGACCGCTCCGTCATCTCAGCGGCCCCGGGAACGGCCGGGCTGGAAGCTGCCGAGCCCCAGGGAAGGGATGGGATGGGCGCTTGCTGCGGAGCCGGGCGGCTTCAGCGGCCCTCGGGAGGGCGGTTTCTTTCCAGGCGTTCGAGCGCCGAGTTTCCGGCCTCTCCTTTCTGCGGTGTGGGGGTTGTGTGCCCCCCGTGTGTACAGCCGCGCCGGTAGTAGAGTTCTCACTCCAGTAGGGTGTGTAACTAAGAAGCAATGCTTAACCGAGATTCAATTAAAGCTGTAAGTGGGCCTACAAGTTAAATATGAAATGAAGATGTAACCCCAGAGCCTGAGTTTTGGGGAACAGGGTGAGGGGAGAGAAAAGGCCTATTAATTTGTACATCCCAACCTCCTACCCCCAGTCACAGCAGGTAGTGCAGCCTTTATTTCTGCATGGTGTGACAGCACTGTCACCCTTGATCAAGAGGTAGCACCTCATGCGCCAAAACTAAGCCCCGGAAGAGGTTCAGAGCCAGTGTGTATATGACATCTGTATAGCCTTTAGATGCAGTACGCCTCGAATTACTTTTAGAAATATTTCGGTAGCTGAAGTGGTCAAAAAAGGGTTGGGAAAAAATGGTTGTCCCCTCCCCCAACCCCAACGATTCTTCACAGTAATATTTCATGACCTATAACAGTAGCATAGCTACAAAGTACGCACCACTGCCAGTTAGGTTGCTTATTTTCATGAGGGTAACACTTCCGCATTTTTCAGCAGATCTTCTCTCCAGTCAATTAAAAGCCACTGTGCACACCCCAGAGCACAGCCGAAACCCTTCCCCAATTCTGAATGATGCTCTTGTAAGGCTTGTTTTCACCCTGTGGCAGTTACTTAGTTTTCCTTTCTGGTGGTCTTATCCCTAGGAGAGGGAGCGTGAACCTTAGTGCTTAATGTAGCTAACAAACTGCACTGCAAGCGTGAAAAATTACTGCCTGGTATGATCACGTTTGACAACTCTTTCCAGGTCTGCTAGAGGTAACAGTCTGGATTTTCTAGCACGGAGAGGACTGCTCTCTGCATGTGTGCACGTGTCTGTGTGTGGATGTGGATGCAAATATAAAACATTATATATTTATATGTCATTTAAATGCATATAAAATCTTTTATATTTAAAAAACTTCCCCAAACCCTTCAGCCTCTAAAACTGTTTTTTGAACCTCACACCAAACTTGAGCCTGTGGACAGCTTCCAGTATTATGAGACAATCCATGATTTCTTACTCAAACTGGGTTTTGATACTGTGTGATAAACAGTTTTTGCAATTCTTCTCACAAGTGATTTCAGTGGAGAAAGGAGTAATTTCTCAACATTACGTCAAAGTCAGCGTACACATTCACTGACTTCAGCAGTGCAGATCAATCCCATAAGGAAAAGAAAAAAATGAGTCTCAGGAAATGTGTAACCTCAGGAATCAGACAAGAAACAGCTCGTTGATCTTCTAGCAGTCACATTCATTGTTGCTGACCAGATCTGGAGCGAGCCAGTTCAAACAGAAATTAAATGGGGGCTTTGCATTTTTTCAGTTAGAAACATTGATCATTGGGCGCTTTCTTCTGCACTACCTTATTTAATCTTGATCTCTAGAAGTCCTTATAAAGTCCTTAGTTAATTGCTGAGTAATCTACTTTTTCTGGTTAAGGAAACCTGTGATACAATGAAATGCTCAATAATTCTAGTCTGCTGAGCTATTCAGAATATAGCCAGTCAACAACCCTTAATGTTCTATTTTATAATTTATCCAATCTATACGTGATTCAGCCAATCAGGGACTAGGTCTTCCATTAATTTTAAATATTTTTTCTGAATATATACCAAGTATCTGATCATTGTGGGATTTTTATTTTACTTTAATTTTTTAACTCCAAACAAGTAACATTCATCTGGCAGTCTGATACGTTAGTACCTTTAATGCACACCACTTTGAGCACAGGTTTGGAGGTAGCATTTGTTATTGCTCTGACTGTCCACTTTCCTAATTAACCCCTTTTTAACAGCCTTTTCCAGGCTATTTTCAGCCTTTCAGAGGACACATATTTCCTGTCATAGCTCAGCATGAAATGTTTTCTATTCTAAGTAAACTGACATTGTGAAACAGAAAGAGAAATAGTGAATTATTTCCTTGGTTAATTAGCAAACTATAGGTAAGAGGATCCCTACCGGGAGGTTTGTAACTACTTGTATGGGTCAATTTAGGATCTGGGGACTCTCCATTATATTAGTGGTAAATTCTGCGGAGAACCTTGTGCCTTGCCTACATGAAAATACACTTCACATTATGCCAGCTGTGAACATACCCGCATCTGTGATTCCATCACTGTGAAATTAAACAAAAAGGGGTTTTTGTAAGCTCCACAAATCACATCGTTTGTTTTTCTTTCGCGTGCTTTATGTCACAAGTAGCTATCAGTGCTGGCGCTGAAAGACACGCTGGTCTGGTAAAACTGTAGATTTCAAAAATGTGTTTATTTTTTTATATAATAAATTTGCTTATGTATAGCAATGTAATCAACTAGTTTGAGTAACTGTGTGTATCCTACAAGAAGGCACAATTATCACACAGCATACAGATTTTTATAAACCCAATTTTGATTATGTTTCTCCAACATATGAATTGCTACTTTCTCTAAGATACACTTTAGGAACATTACCAAAAAACATCATCTTCATCATTTGTATGAGTTACGACCCAAAGGTATTGAGTCATGTTTGTTTTGGAAGCACATTGCACATAGGGCTTGTCAGTCATGTCTGCAGAAAGAGACACATGCTTTTTGGATATAATGCCTGTATTTACCAAATGTAAAATTAAAAGTGAGTTTACAGGAAAGCATGATTGCAAATTGATTACATCACTTTTATTAGCTTTACACAATTATTCCTCCCATGCAGTTGTGCCACTGAAAAATACCTCAGTCTTTGCTGCAGCAGCAGATTTTTCGTGTTGAGGATTATTATGTATATTAAATGGTAACATTCATGTGTCAAAACCAATGCTGTTTAGTGGTTTACATAGCACCATTGAGTTAGATGTCCTTGCCCAATGATTCCCAACAGCTGTGCTGGTTCAGCTCCATCGCTGGCTCTTGTGCAGACTTGTCTCCAGGTCTGCTGTCTTTTTGATTACTGTCACTTAGCTTGGGATAGAGTCATTGATCCTGACCTTAAAAAGCCACCAGTTCCTCTACCTTAATGTTCACACCATTATTTTGATACATTATACAGCAACAGGAGCTTTTAAAACAATGTATTCTACATCAAGATGTAACTGATGAAACAAAATGCTTGCCCATGGCAGTTAACAAGTTTAAAAGACAGAATAAGAGAATGATTTGGACAAAAAAAGTAGAAGTGTCTGATTTTGTCAGAAGACAGAGAAAATACGCTAAGTATTATGGTAAATGCATATTTGCTTACATTATTTGTGAAACAACTTCAGACGTGTGATGAAGTAAAGTAAATGCCTTACTTTGAGAAGTGCATCATGGTTCATCTTACATTTTGTATTGATGTAAACTGCCTTGTAAACTTCAGATATACACACAGAATGGTTTTCGCTTCCTTTCTCCCCATCACTGTAGCAGCAGCAGGTCTTGGTACCGTTTAGAAAATATAGCCTGAACTTCCTCTCTGCAATGGTATTTAGGAGTTAAATTATTAAATATATTGTTTTTATTTCTAATTGTGAATATTGCAGCAGGGCTACTGGCAACCTTCATTTTATGTAACTAGCTCTCATTTGTATACTTAACACTTCATGTTTTTCTTGTTCTATACTTAAAAACAGAAACTATACAACAATATTAGAAAATACAAAAGTCAAAATGACTTAAAGTTATCATCCTCTTAACTAAGCTCCTCTCATGCACAGCATGAAAATAAAGGTATGACTCTGATATGCTTAGAACTCTATTTTTATTTTAAGTGTAACTGAGTGATGATGTTTTATATCATAAACTGAAAATCATCAGGTCGGTGTTCTGACAGACAGCTCTATGTTCAACAAGAAGACTTAAATATATACATATTAATGTGGTTACTGTTATGTATTCAGAGTCTGTCAACTAAAGACAGAGAGCTTACCCTAGTACATAAATAGCTCAGAACTGGACTCTAAGCCATCAGTAAATTTAATCAATTCTCCTGATCTGCTATTTTACCAAGCCTATCACTGTAAGTAGAAAACCATCAAATCAATTTTAAAATAACTTTTTTTTAAAGAGCCCATTTGATCTGGCTGTAATTTCCTGAAAAACGAGGTTAGGAAGAATGAGTTTAACTACAGAATTGGTGAGTTCCACTGCAAGTACTGAGCTGAACTGCTGCTCTCTCCATCTTCTAGGACAAGTACCTCCTCTAGGACATCACAGAATAGTAACTTTCTGAGCTGAAAATAAAAATTACCTACTTATAAATTCAGACTTACAGACTTGTTTACAGACTCACTCCAATCAGTATAACACTAAACTTTCTCTAATTGTTAGAACACTATTCCTTATAAGACTTTCTGTAACAGAAAAGCATGATGTTCCTTTGCTGTTGGAAATTTTATAAACAAGTTGCATTTCTACCAATCCTCCGGCCCTGAAAGAGACAGCAGGACCCCAATACTGCATGATAGTAGGGAGATGTAAGTACATATTGCCAGTTTATTAAAAAGCCATCGTGTCATTATGCTTTAGACTACACTTCTTTTTTTAACATCTCTCAGCCCTTAAGGTTATGATAGTAATTGAAAATATATGAATTTCACCAATGAAGCAGTCCAATCTGAAAATACTGCTTGTCTGGAACAGCATCTTTAAAAGATGGAATGGGGTCCCAGGGGTTGTTAATGCAAACCTAATAAAAGTTATTTAAATGACACTTTTATTAGCTAAAGAATAGATAGTTGATTGCTAGTTACTGGTAGGAACTGCTGAGATGAGCTCTTCAAGTTCAGCCACTTGCACGCTTACTCACAAACCTACCTAAGAGTCTTGGCTCTTACAAAACTAACAGCCATTTTAAAACAAACTGCCATGTCTTAAGAGTTTTAGCAAGTAGTGTTTAAATCGGGATAGCTATCCCACAGACAGGTAGTATACTCTGGCATCACACTGCATGTCACCACATCACAGAGCACTGAAAATCCCCCAAGCTTGGAGTTCTCTCTATGAAGCTCTCAGAGGGTCACTGCTTATGTCTCCTAATCCTT